AAGGGAGAAAGACCAGGCTTTCTACTCCTGTACACAGTTAAGTCATGGAAACTCATAGGGGCAGTTCTCCCACCCTGCTCTTGAGGGTCACTGTGAGCTGATAAGGACTCAATGGCAGTGAGTTTGGTCTGGTTTTCTGGTAGAAAGTGCTCGGTGCTCGTAGGCACTGTAGATAGTATTGTGAGCAGGACAGAGGAAGTATCTTAAAGGGTTTTCTAGTACTGAGGGGTTGGTGAAAACTCAGGGGGAATAAGAAGGAATGGAAGGTCAGTGATGGTGCATTAAAGCAAAAAAAGCCAGTTAGAGGATCAAAGGAATGCAGGGGCATGTTGTTATTTCTATTTCGTATATTGGTATGGTGATCAGAGAAGGCTGAATGAAGAAATGACCTTTGAGCAGAACACTTAGTGAAGTGAGGAAGGGAGTCATGCGCATATCAGGTAGAAGAGTCCTACATGGTGTGCCCGACAAAAGGACACACAAGTGCAGAGACCTGGAGACATAAGAGCTATGTGTACTTTAGAGGAATATTAAGAAAAACAGTGTGGCCGGGGCAGATTGAGTGAAGCACAGAGTGTAGAGTAACTGGATAACCAAGACCCAAAGCTGGTTCCCGGAAAGTAACTAGAACAATCTACCAATGAAAGGGAACAGAAGGTAACGTGTACCCAAATAATTTAAGTCTGAGGAAGCTAACTTAAGGCTAAGTATCAAAACTATCAGAGTTGAAAGTAAGGAGAGATGTGATCCTTTTTTTTTTTTAAATCATTTTATTGTGGGCTCATACAACTCTTATCACAATCCCTCCATCCATCCCTTGTGTCAAGCACATTTGTACATTTGTTGCCATCATCATTGAGATATGTGATCTTACTTACATTATAATGATATTATTTGTGTTCATTCTGTGAAGAATTAACTGAAAGTAAGAGACCAGTTACAAGACAGTTAAGCAAAGCATAGACTGCATTGTTGTGATAAAGAAGGACCGGTGGTGAGAGTGGAGGGAGATGGGTTAAAAAGGGGGACTGATTATAAAGATCTACATAGAACCACCTCTCTGGGGGACAGACAACAGAAAAGTTGGCCAGACAGTGGAAGATAATGACAGATATGTCATATCATAAGATATGACAAAATAATAATAGTTTATAAATTATCAAGGGCTCATGAGAGAGGGGGAGTGGGGAGGGAGGGAGGGAGAAAAAACAAGCTGATACCAAGGGCTTAAGTGGAGAGCACATATTTTGAGAATGATGAGGGCAACAAATGTAAAAATGT